AACATTTTAATTGTTTTCCATTACCTTGTGCATTTCAGACCTTCCTTCTGGGATCATATTCCTTTTATTTGAAGTGTAACTTTTAGCAGTTCCTTTAGAACAGGTCTCTTTGTGACAAATATTGTTAGTTTTTGTTCATTTGCAAAATGTCTTTACTGTGCCCTCAATATTGAAAGATAATTTTTCTGGATGCATAATTCTGGGTCAATAGTGATTTCATGACATTTAGACATTATTCTACTAGCTCCTGGTTCTCAGAATTGTTGCTAAAAATTCATTCCAATTGTCATTCCTTTGTATGATCTCTTTCTTTCCGGCTTCCTGCAGTTTTTCTCTTTGCCTTTGGTGTTCTGAAGTTTCACTATTATGTGTCCAGATTTGGATGTCATTTTATTTTTCTTAAGATGCGTTTTGTTTCTTGGATCTGTGATTCAATTTTTCATCAGTTCTGGAAAATTCACAGATATTATGTTATTAAATATTGTCATTGTTCCATTGTCTCTAAGATCTTTTTTTCTGAGATCCCAATTAGATATATGTTAGACCTTCTTTGTGTGTATTACAAATCTCTGAATCTTTTCATTTTTTTTTAAGATTTTATTTTTCCTTTTTCTCCCCGAAGCCCCCTGATACATAGTTGTGTATTTTCAGTTGTGAGTCCTTCCAGTTGTGGCATGTGGGATGCCGCCTCAGCATGGCTTGATGAGCGGTGCCATGTGCATGCCCAGGATTCGCACTGGCAAAACCCTGGGCCGCCGAAGCAGAGCACATGAACTTAACCACTTGGCCATGGGGCTGGCCCCCTCTTTTCATATTTTTAATTTATCACTTTTTGATTTATTGTTCTCCAATTGATTATCTCTTTAACTGTTATTGATTTCATTTTTATCTCACAATTATATTTTTCCTTTTTAGAATCCCCACTTGTTTTTTCAAATCTGTCTATTCCTGTTTCATTTATGCTCATCTTTGCAATTGCATCCATTACTTCTTTAATCATTTTATATATAGCTATTTACATTCTGCATCTGACATCATCTACAGTCCTTGGAGATCTAAATGTGTTGGTTCTTGTTTCTGTGGACTTTCAGTCATGGATCCATTCATCTGCTGATGGACACTTAGGTTGTTTCCATATCTTGGCTATTATGAATAAAGCTCCAATGAACATAGGCATTCAGATATCGCTGAGATACTGATTTCATTTCCTTCATTTCCTGGATATATACCCAGAAGTGGGATTGCACACCATACGGTAGTTGTACCTTAAATTTTTTGAGGAAACTCCATGCTATTTTCCATAATGTCTGTACCAATTTACATTGAGCTTTGTGATTATATTTTTGACAGTGTATAGAATATTTCCAACTCTATGTAAAACTGGTACTTCCAACTCAGCATGTCTATAACTGAACACACTTTCCCCCATCTCTTTCCAAACCTGCTCCTCTTTCTGTATTCCAAACTCTTATCCCCTCACTTTTCCACCTCCCTCTTTCATTCAGTGAACTCATGTTCATATTTGAGTCTTAGCTGAGAAGTCATTTACTCTAGGAGGCCTTCCTTGGCTCCTTATATTAAATTAGGTTCTCCTTTTGGCTATCCCATAGCACCATGTAGATTATTCAGTCGAAATACTCATCAAAATCTATTGTAATTGCTTGTTTAGTTATTTTTCCTCCTTACATGACCATCAGCTTCAGGAACAGGGACCCTAAAACAGTACTGCTAAAGGACTGTACATTGGGAAAAGAGACATATTCAGACCTTTTGGGGATTACTGGACACTGGCTCTGAACTGTCACTAATTTCTGGAGACCCAAAACATCACTAACAGTCAGAATAGGGGCTTATGGAGGTCAGGTCATCAATGGAGTTCTAGCTCAGGTCTGCCTCACAGTGGGCCCAGTGGGTCTCTGAACTCACTTTGTGGTAACTTTCCCAGTTCCAGCAATGCATAATCGAAATAGAATGACGTAGCAGCTGGGAGAATCCTCCTATTTGTTCCCCAATCCGTGGAGTGAGGGCTATTATGATAGGAAAGGCTGAGTGGAAATCATGAGAACTGCCTCTACCTGTGAAAGTACTAAGTCAAAAGCAACTCTGCATTCCTGGAAGGATTACAGAGATGAGTTCCACCATTAAGGACTTGAAAGATGCAGGGGGTAATTCCCACCAAATTCCCATTCAACTTGCCTATTTGGCCTGTGCAGAAGACAGATCTTGGAGAATGATGGCGGATTATCATAAACTCAGTCAGGTGGTGACTCCAATTGTAGCTGCTGTTCCAGATACGGTTTTGTTGCTTCAACAAATTAACACACCCCCTGGTACCTTGTGTGCAGCTATTGATCTGGCAAATGCTTTTTTCTCTATACCTGTTAATTAGTACAGACCACCAGAAGTAGTTTGTTTTCAGCTGACAATGCTAACAATACATCTTCACTATCCTAATTCAGGTACATCAATTCTCCAGCTCTACTTCATAATTTAGTCAGCAGGGACCTTAATTGCTTTTCCCTTCTTCAGGACATCAAGCTGGTCCATTACATTGACAATATTATGCTGACTGGACCTGGTGAGCAAAAGAAGCCAGACACAGGAGTATACACTGTGTGATTCCATTTCTATGAAACTCCTCTAGGCAAGAATATCAATTGTTGCCTGCTGCTGGAAAAGGAGGAGTAGGAACTGACTGGGGAGGGGCAGAAGGAAACCTTTTGGAGTGACAGAAATGTCCTGTATTTTGACAGTAGTGTTAGTTATACTGCTGTATATATTTGGCAAAACTCAGTGAACTGTACACTTAAAATGTGTTTCTTTTATTATTTATAAATGATACCTTAATAAAGGTGACTTAAAGAACACTATTTATCAGTACTTATGGGTTGCGGTAAAGGATATATCCAGAGATAAATCCACAGCCCCAAATGTTTTCCTGATTTAAAAAGGAACAAAAGTGGGGCCAGCCTGGTGGCGCAGTGGTTAAGTTCGCACGTCCTGCTTTGGTGGCCCGGGGTTCACCGGTTTGGATCCTGGGTGCGGACATGGCACCGCTTGGCAAGCCATGCTGTGGTAGGTGTCCCACATATAAAGTAGAGGAAGATGGGCACAGATGTTAGCTCAGGGCCAGCCTTCCTCAGCAAAAAGAGGAGGATTGGCAGCAGATGTTGGCTCAGGGCTAATCTTCCTCAAAAAAACACAAAAACAAAACAAAACAAAAGGAACAAAAGTAAATGAACAAAGCATTCAAATAAAAGCTTCATATATAAAATTAAAAGGAAAACAACAAACTGGGAAAAATATTTACTACAATTTTGAACAAAGACTTTATAGTTTTAATATATAAAGAGTTGTTACAAATCAATAAGAGATTCTATCACAAAAATCTGCTATTTCCTTCTTGTTCTCAGTGCCAAGACTGACTAGCTCCTTTTTAGTCTTTAGTTCTGCAAAAGCTTTGTAATTCATCTTCCTGCCTCCAATCTTCCCGCTCCAAACCATCCCTCACACTTTTACCAGAGGTATCTTTCTAAAACACAACTGTCTTCCTTGAAATCCCAAATGGCTCCTTATTACCTAGATAAGAAAGGTAAAACTCTGTAGCTTGGCACTGAAGACCCTTCTTCTCATCTTTCGGCCTCTTCTTTCTTTGGCCTGCCACCTTGTGAATCCCATGCGCTAATCTCGCTCCTTGAGTATGTCAGGCCTTCTCTCACGGGCACACGGCCTTGGTTATCTCTTCTGCTGGATTGCCCATCCTCTCTACTCCTGGCACCCCCACCTCATCTGTCCAATCTCTACCCCTTCCCTAATGCTCTGTTTGAAGCCTCACTTGCCTCCCCAAGCAGTCAGACTCTCCTCTGCTCCCTCCCCAGCACTCAGTGTACACCATTATCAGCACTTGCCACAACACAATTGTAATATAAAATTAAAATGTTTTCATTTTAATTTATATATTTAAATTATAATTAGCCTCGATGTCTGTTTCTAGCCCCCACCCCCTTCTACTAATGAAGAAGCATCTCTATTCAACTTTGTATTCCTAGAATAGCACAGAGTAGGTGCTCAGTAAACACTGTTAAATAAGAGAATATTTAATTAGATTGAAGGAATTATATAACTTACTGTGGAAAATGAATTATAGAACTTTTTTAAAAAGGTACTTAAAAAATATGTAAAAACCTTTCAAGTACATAGGCAAAAAAAATTGCAAACATTTCTAAAGTAGAAATTTTCTAAAGTCTGTTGTAATGAATGGAGATTATCTGCAAACTAAGAATGTCCTTAAAAATAGTTTGTTTTCATTTGAGTAGAGTATGCATGCTTTCTAAAATTTGTTTTACATTATAATTTTCTCTGGCAAAACTTAGGCTCACAAATTATAAGAATTATACATATTCTGAATTAGTAAAGAACAAATTGAAGAAATTATAATGGTATTACTACCACTGCTGGTTGACACTTAGTGGAAACATGTGGAATAAAATAAAAGATTAACATTCTTTTCCAAAAATGGAGAATTTTTTTCAGTTGTATTGCTGCTTTATTCCACTGAGCTGTACCTCACATTTCAGCACCTTACTAGTCTTGGCACTATTACTCTGAAATCTTTTTATTTAAACAACTCACAGAAAATGTTCCAATTCTGTTCACAGGTATTATATTAGCATCATTTATCATTTGCTGAGTACTTGGGCTTGGGTCCAGCACTGTGTCCAGTTACAAAAGAAGAAATCACTATTTCTGCCTTCAAGAAGTTAACAGAGCAGTTGCAGAAATAAGATGCAAACAAACATAAAATAATCAGAAAACAATTCAAGGCAATATTCAGTGGTAAGTGTCAAATTTTGTGACACAGTAGTTCCATGGTATAGAAGTTGAGAGGTGGTCAGGGAAGGCCTTGTTAAGAAGGCACTTGTTTTGAGCTCAGAACTGTAGGGAAGATCTGAGCTATTGGAAAGAAGGGGGAAGGTCCTCTCCCTGGGAAAACATCCTACCTGATATTTTCTCCATCTCTTCCAATAGCTTTTCCAAGTCTTTATTCAGGTCTGACAGCATTTTTAGCATGTTGTCATAGTTTCTTTCCCCAGGGTCAGAATCAGCCATCTAGACAGTGCACAGAAAGAGGAAGTGAAACAGAGCAACATTTCAATTCTGGCTCCACTATTCATAGCTGGGCAGCCAAAGCCAGAAACTTGAGGTCATCTTTAATTCCTCCTTCTCTTTTCTTCCTAACCTGTCACTAAAACTCACCGATTTTATTTGTTCATGGAATAAACATTTAATCATCTATGGGTCAGGAAGGTCCAGTTCTTGTGAGCCACCAGTGAACTGAAACTTGCCCTTGTGGAGTTCATAGCTTGGCCCAGCTCTTTAAAGTCTCTCCTATCAGTCTCTTTGCTCTCTCTCCAAGAGTGCTGCTTTCATTGAGGGCCAGTACTTATAGATTTACTGAGCACCTACTATGTGCCAGACACCTACTACAGCTCTGTGATACTGCAGTTTATTTGTGGATCCAGAAAGAAAAAACCCATCCTCTCATGGAGCTTCCAGTCCAGGGGGATAATAAACAAGTTAACAGATTTGTAAAGATAATTGCAGTTTGTGGTCACTGCTACAAAGAAAATAAATAGAATAAAACAGCATGGTGTAATAAAAAGGATCTTTCATGGGGAGGGTGCTTTAGTTTATAAAGTCAGAGAAGTCCTCTCTTTTTTTTTAGAGAAGTCCCAGTACATAGTTGCATATTTTAGCTGTAAGTCCTTCTAGTTCTTCTATGTGAGCTGCTGCCACAGCACGGCTACTGACAGACGAGTGGTGTGGTTCGGCACCCAGGAACTGAACATGGGCTGCTCAAGTGGAATGCACCAAACTTTAACCTCTAGGCCATCAGGGCTGGCTCAGAGAAGTCATTTCTAATGAAGTGACATTTCAACTGCCACTTGAATGACAAAAAGGAGTTGGCATGTGAAGACCTGGGGGAAGAATTCTACACAGAGGGAATAGCTCAAGAAAAGGTGGGAGTGGCCCTGGTGTGTTTTAAGGAATGGAAAGAAAGTGTAGAATGAGGTTGAGGAGAAGAGTGGTATGAGATGAGATCAGCTAAGCAGGCAAGAAGTTTGGTTTTATTTTGAGTGTGAAGGAAAGCCACTGGAGGTTGACAGCAGGGGATTATGTGGTTATATTTTAAAATAATGACTTCAGCTGCTTGGAAAGTAGGCTGTTGCAGAAGACTGAGAAAAGGCAAGAATGGGAAGACCAGTGAGTCAGGAGAGCACTAGAGTAGTCTAGAGATGACAGTGGCTTGGACTAGGTGGTAATGATATAAATAGTGAGAAGTGGAAGGCTTTGAGCTATATTTTGGAAGATGAGCCAACAGAATTTGGTAGAGGATTTGATGTGTCTAAGTTTGCAGGGCCAAGTAATAGGAAGAGAAATCAAAATGACTCCTAATTTTGGTGAGAACAACTTGATGGATGGTGGTGTAATTAACTGAAATGGGGAATACTAGGAGAGAAGCAGATTAGAAGGGAAAACAAGTGCTCTATTTTTAACAGGTTAATATGAGATGCCTATTAGGCCTTCAAGTGGAGACTCAAATAGGCAGTTGAATATATGGGCCTGGAGTTCAGGAGAAAAGTTGGACCTGAAATATAAAGTTTGGAACTAATGGTACAGGCTCTCTCCACCTTTTACTTGGACAACCGTCATGGACTCCTAACTCGTCTTCCTGCTTGTAGCTTCATTTTGTCCAATCCATTTTACAGTTCACCTCCAGAATAACCTTTCCTAACATGCAAATCTGACCATGTCACTCTGTTTGAAATCCTTCAATAGCTCCCTATTTCTTTCAGGATAAAATAAATCTCTTTACTATAGATATAAGATTCTTTGTAATATAGCTCCTGACTGCTCCCATTTTCCTCCAATTCTGAGTTGTGGCCAAACAACTGAAGAAAGCCTTGAGAGATTCAGAATTTAATGAGATATTATTTAAAATCTACAAGAGTTCTATATTTCCAAGAGATGTGATGAAAAAAGATCCATGAAAATAACAAAAAACTCTGTAAAGTTAAAAAATCTCTACAGTTTTCTTACAAAGGAGCTAAAGAAATGCAAAATGGAATAAAATTATGCTATCATGTGGTAGTTACAAAAATCTGTGTGAAGGTAAAGAGGTAGGTAATGACACAATTCATACCTAAGTTGTGTGGGCTACTTGCTCAATCCATTAAGTTATAAAGTTCCAGTTTTATTTTTTTACCCATACATTCAACACATATTTATTGAGCACTATTTTAGATACTGAAGACACAGCAGTGAACAAAACAGATTAAAATCCTTGGTCTCATGGAATTTATATTCTAGTGGGGAGAGAAGACAATAAACAATATTAATAAGTGAAATAAACATAAGGAAGGGATAAGTACTAAGGAAAAAAACTCAACCAGAGATGTAGGGTGGGAGTGTGTGTAGGGCGGGGCTGCAATTTAAATAAGTGTGCAGGGAAGGCCTCGCTGAAGTGATTTTGACTAAAAATCTGAAGAAGTAAAGGAACGAGCCATATAGATATATGGGGAAAGTGCAGCCAGGCAGAGAAAACAGTAAGAACGAAGGCCCTGTGTAAGGAGCCTGCTGGATGAGCCGGAGGAAGAGCAACAAGGGCAGTGAAGTTGATATAGAGAGAGTGAAGAGGAAAGTAGTAGAAGATGAGGTCAAAACAAAGGGGGTGGAATTATCGTGGACCTTGTAGGCCACTGAAATGACTTTGGCTTTTTCTTTGAATGAGATGGGAGCCTGGAGGGTGATGATCTGATTTACATGTTAATAAACCACTAGGTTGAGAATAGCTTGTGCGGACATGGGTGAAGGCAGGGAGACTACTTAGGAGGCCACTGGAATAATGCAGGTGAGAGATAATAACAGCTTGGATCAGCATAGGAGTGATGAAAGTGTACGAAGGAGGATGAATCAGGGTATATTTTGAGGACAGGGCTGACAAGATTTGCCAATGAGTCAAGGTGGAGTCAGGGACGATGATAAGGTTTTTGACTGGGTGACCAGAAATGGAGGTACCATTAACCGAGAAGGGGGAAGACTAGAAGAAGCTCGTTTAGGTGGGGAAGAAAGAATTCAGTTTTGAACATATTAAATTTAAGATACCTATTTGGCAGCCAAGTGGGGATGTTGAGTAGGCAGCTGGATAAATGAATTCAGGGGAGAAGGTAGGCTAGAGATAGAAATTTGGGAGTCATCAGCATACAGGTGATACTTAAAGACATGAGAATGGGTGAGATCAAAGGACAGAATGCAAATGGAGAAGAGGCCAAACATCAAGATCAGGGAGATTCCAAGGAAACAGCCAAAGAGACTGAGAAAGAGGGGCCAGAGAGGTAGAAGGAAAATCAGGAGAGTCATGTTCTGGAAGTCAAGTCCAGACTCCCAGAGAGGCATTGGATCCCAGCCAATGTCCTCTGATCATTATGAAATCTCAGCAAGCTGAGAAGACAACTTTAAAAAGTACAAGAGAAGGGAACTCCAAAAATTGTGTGGGATAATATGAGTACTTCCTTAATGGGTGAGTAACTTATCATGCTGGGAAGGTAGAGAATTAAGATAGGAAATGTTTAAGAGCATAAAAAACTGGAATTACTGGGAATATTTGGTATTTTGTGCTTTTGTATGTTTAAGAGAATTTGGTCTATTAGAGTAACAGGTCAGCTTTGTCATTCTGGTTTAAGATGTTAAATTGATTATGGGTTGTAATTGTAAATCAAAATCTTAGTAAGTTTATAAAGAGTTTTAGGACATGTAAGAGAAGGTGAGGTTCATCATATTTATAAGTCTGACTTAGGATATTTATAAGAATTATTTAAGAAAGTGGGAAGTTTTGTTATTAAGACAATTGAGGTACCAAAGAAATGGAATATAGTAATTTATAATTAAATGAGTTTAAGTTTGTAAATAGATCAAAAACATTAAGTTACTATTAAAATTTGTTAGACCTAGAATAAGATTAAGAGTTTAGAATAAGATAATCTTACTTAGAAAAAAAATCTAATAAATAATCTTATTTAGAATAAGATTTATAAACTAAACAAATGCTCAAGGAAGACTGGATTTTTAAATTGTAACTTTAATAAAATATTAATTTTTAAGACCAAAGTAAACATTCAAATAGTCTTTTCTCTGCCTAAATAATGCCTTTAAAGGCATCAAAGCTCATGTTTATCAAAAGCTACCCATGTCCTCACATATACCCTAAGCTTCAGTCATATTAAATATTTAATTTGGTAAATTTGGGTATCTACTATATGCCAAGCAGTACTACAGAAACTGAGGATTAAAAAATAACTAAGTACACAGTCCCTGCCATCAAGGAAATCAGTCTGGTAAAAAGAAACTTGTTGTAAAGCAAGATTCTTTGAAAAGCAATAGCCATTCATCCAAAAGTCCTTGCTCAGTCAAACCAAAGCCTTCTGACATAAAATGGCCCGTATAGCCACATCACTGAGAACTCTGAAAACATCATCTTCTCTCTTGCCTCCATGCCTTTACATACATCATTATTATACTGCCTGAAATGCCCTTCCCTGCTCTCTCTTGTTTTTTAAGACTCAGCTCAAGGGTCACTTCTTCCAGAAGTCTTTCCTTACATTTCCCACCAGCCAGCTCTGAAGGTCGGTGTGCACCTCTTTTTACATTCCCACAGCTTCTATATCTACTTCCAGCCAGCCACTGTTCTAAGCATTTTAATCTTTATAAAAACCCTATAAGGTAAGTCCTATTATGATTCCAATTTACAGATGAGAAAAACAAGGCTCAGAGAAGTTACCTAAGTTGCTTAAGATTGGACAGCAAATGCACACAGATCTGAGAAATGCACCCCAGCAGTCTGCCTCCAGTCTGTGCTCTCACATACTACGCTACTGGTATTCAATAAATTCTTGATAAATATACGATGAACAGAACTGACAAAATGTAGTAAGCAACTGGAGAAAGGTTCTAGGTACCCTGAAAGCCTGGGATAGAATCCAGGCTCTGCCATTTACTGGCTGTGAGACCCTGGAAAGTTAGCCAATCTCTTTAAGTCTCTGTTTGTTCTT